TATTTTCCACTCATCTTTGCTCTGGCACTGCTGAAACACAAGTAAATTGAATGGGTTTGCTAGTTTGCGCACCACATTTTTAGCGAAAATTACCTCACGAACTGTAAATACATTGAAACACGATAAGGGGAGACGACTACATTTATTTGGAATTTTTGTCGTGACGTCATATATGAGATTCGACGAGTTCGTCACATTACCCTACTCGTCAAATTACCCTACACTCCCCTATACAAAAAATTGTCTTTCTGATAGCAGAGACCTGTGCCCGACTGAAGTGATATTGTTTACCCTTCGTGATGTTGTAAATTGTAATTTTTCGTATAAGTAGGATGGTTCTTTATGAATAATAATTTTGTATAGGAGAAGTAGTACTCTAAGTTGTATCCAATCCATTAAGCTTAGGTCAAAGATTTTATATGTAAAGTTAGAAACATGGTCCGCCCTCCGTAAATCAAAGACAAAATGAACGACAGTGTTCACAGTTACTCTAAGTTTATTCAGGCTGCATGAGTCACAGTTTGCAAAGACGGTAATAGTCTAGAAGAGCGGCCTGAGCACCAAAAACCGCGAAAAAATTACCCTCGATGGACCGCGATTTCTTAGGAATTTACGTGCAGAAGATTATTTGCGGAAATGCATTGTTCTCTTGTAATTGCATTTCAAAGTTGCGTGTTTTGCTATAAAAACAAAGTAGGATTTTCTAGGATTTTGAGGTGTTTTGTGTCATTTTGCTATAAAAAACATATGGGCTTTCCGTTTGTTGTCAAAATAATAAGCGTTCGAAAAAATTCGACAAAAATGTGAAATTGTTTTTATAGCAGGCCAGACCCCACAACCGCGAATTAATATCCTCGATGGACCGTGATTCCTTAAGAGCTTGGGCGACCATGGATGACCAACATATACATTTTTAAGATGTGTCTTAAGAAATCGCAATCCGAGGAGGATCAACCTTAGTCTTTATCAGTACCTCCTTATACTTGTAACTTATTTGTAATAGTAAATAAAATGCTATATAAAACTATGGTTAATGATTGGACAGTAAATATTTATTTATAAAAAATGCTGGTTAGTGGTACAGATTAAGCCTATTCTTTTTCATTGTCCGTATCGGTGGATTCCTGAAATTTAAGATAGTTAATTGTTAGTATTTAAAAAGAGATGGGAAATGCTAAAAAAGCGCCGGAGGCAAAAAAATTAAAAAAAAAAATCGCGCGATTTTTTTTTTAATTTTTTTGCCTCCGGCGCTTTTTTAGCATTTCCCATCTCTTTTTAAATACTAACATCGCGTTCAGGATTAAACAATTCGCCCATTGCTGAGAAAATTGCATGGAATCTTGAGGTGTGGTTTGGGTGCCTTTTCAAAAAAGTGAATCGCGCTAGGTACCCTTGGTAGTGCTCCGTTTTCCGGCCATAGTGGGGAATGTTCTCCTTTAGATCACGCCATAGTCTCTCTATTTGCTGTGTATTGGCTCCCGTTTCAGGGTCGACGAAGTTTACTGAGTGATTAACGGTCATGTGAGAGTAGTTCGCATCCTTTAAACCATTGTATGACTTCCAGCAGTCGGATATAATTCTGGTTCCATTGGCGATGTTGGCCTCTATAATTGGAAGGAGCGTTTCCTGGCTACGGTCCTCCACAGGCACCAAAAAAAAGTCACCGGTTTCTCTGTAAATTCCTCCGAAAACCCACTGGCCATCCACAACGCGACCGCAATTATACTTGCGCCGGCCAATTTTGGTTTCGTCAATTTCGACGGTTAAACCGTCTCCACCTATTATTTGTTTTGCGTTCTTCTTCGTCCAGCTAAGATAAATTTCCCGAAGAAAATTACTCCAGTCAACCACCGTCTGTTGGGACCAGCCTAGTTCTTCCCGAAGGAATGAGATTGTTGAACCCTTCATCTCCCAAGCCACAAAATTACAGGCCTGTTCAATGCCAACGTGGGACTTGCTGAAGAATGTCCGTTTGATGGCGGATTCCTTACAAATATAATTTAAAGCAATATTTTGTTCAAATTAAACAATTGTTACCTTAAAGGAGCATTGAACTTTTCTTAATTTCCGTTTCTGTTGATGATTACTTATCATCCTGCGGCACCTCCAAAATGGCGTACTAATCGGTCTCTTCGCATTGAAAGACAATGTTGCGGGATTACTGCAGTTGGGACAGTCCTTGCTCTTTAGAACAACTCCATGTCTCTGCAGAAATGAAAACACTTCTTCTTCGTCCATGGCAAGAAAGTCTTTATAAGAAATAGTGCACCCGTTGCAGGAATCCATAGTAAACAAAAATCAAAAGTGCAATTTCTGATTAAGCAACAAAAGCCTACTTGTTTTTTATAGCAAACCCATAAATTCATAGAAAATGCTCATTGTTTTTATAGCAAAATGACACAAAACACCTCAAAATCCTACTTTGTTTTTATAGCAAAACACGCAACTTTGAAATTCAATTACAAGAGAACCATGCATTTCCGCAAATAATCTTCTGCACGTAAATTCCTAAGAAATCGCGGTCCATCAAGGGTAATTTTTTCGCGGTTTTTGGTGCTCAGGCCGCTCTTCTAGACTATTACCGCAAAGACTTCTAATCCATAGAAAAGTTGTGGAATTATACAGGTTTTAGAAATTAGTAGACGGATGTTTGTGGGCAGAAAACGTTTTGATAATGACAGAGATCTTAGTGTGCCATAGGTCTTACTCACTGCCCTTGAAATATGGTCATTCCACACCCAAAAAAAAAATCCTGAGTGTCAATTTAATAACTGTGGGTTAAAATAACACTGCCCCTAGGATCAAATTTTTGGGGTCAATTTGCTCCCAAATGAGTGTCAAAAGTACACCGCGTTTTCAGAAAAATCGTATTTGATACTAAATAGTGTCATTTTGATAAAACTAGGTTCACTTCGATCCCAATAATTATCATTTTTGATTTTCGAAGTTCGAAGTTCGGCGATGTTTTACTCTAGTATCGATTTCGTTTATACTTGTCAAGAGTTCGCTCGCGCGCAAAATGGTTCGATGGCCCAGTTGGTAAGGCGTCTGCCTCTGATGCGAGAGGTCCCCGGTTCGAAATCCAGATAAATCAGAGTAGGTAAAAAGTTTTTAAAATGCAAATGTATCATTTTAAGAACAAAAATGTTAAGTTGTGTTAGATTACTGATAAAAAAAAAAAAATAATGGTGTTGCGAGCGGGATTCGAACCTCGTTCCCCCGAGCACAAAATAATATCAGAACCTAGCGCCTTGGCCCCTGAGCCACGCCCATATTAATTTTTCCCATGGCAGAATGGTTACAGGAGCTTTCAAGCAAATGTCAAATTTTATTTAATACTAAGAAAATGACACCGGCTAGTGGCTCTTTGACACCAAAAAGGGTCAAATTAATATTTTCGAAAGTATTAAAGTGACACCAGAATAGGGTCAATTTAATGACGTTCGGATCAAAGATTTTTTTTTTAATACTTAAAGGTAGTATGTTTTCAATTTTAATTTTTTAATTTCGCACCTAAAAAAATTGTAATTTACTGTGTCGAATGCCTTACTATAATCAAGTAAAACTAAGAATGTCACATTGGAAGAATATATTTGTTCTCGTATATCCTCTGCTATTTTTAAAATGACGGTAGTGCAGCTCCTGTGTCTTCTAAAGCCAGATTGTTTATCATTGAGCACTTTATTGTCTATTACAAAGTTATTTATTTGTGCCGCCATTAGGTTTTCGAACATTTTGGACAGGTATGGGAGAATTGATATGGGCCTATATTCTTTATTTTTCTTTGGAATTGGGTGAATCTTGGCAAGTTTCCAGCTGTCTGCAAACACGGATGTCAAAATCGCAGTATTTAAAATGTGGGTGAAAAATACAAGTATTCGTGGGAGTAAAATCACTATAAATTTTGGGTTAACATCGTCCAATCCGGTAGCACTCGATTTAATTTTAAGAATACATTCAAGGACATCACATTGACTGACACACACAAACCTAAATCTATTGTCACATATATATTCAGGTACTTGTTGTTGGTTCAGGTATATACTATCAGTGACTTCAGGAACATTGCATTCCGCGAACTCCCGATTCAAGGCATCTACATCTATATCTTTTAAAAGGGTAATTTTTTTTTCTCTATATTCCTAAACTTTTTATTCCATGTTTCGGTCGATGAATTTGTATTATAAAACTTGCGACTGTAAAAGTTAGATTTGGTCGAATCGAATAGGTTTGTTACATTCTTTCGTAGCATTTTAAAAGTGGTACACAGCGCTGAAGTCTTGTTTCGTTTTCACTTGTTATATGCCTCGTTGCGCTTTTTAATGGCTGTCTTGATTTCAGAGTTAAACCATGGTTTTTCGGATGCCCGGAGGATTTTACTTCGTACCGGCACAAATTTATTATAAAGGTAGCTGATATTATTTTGAAAAAAGGTCACTTGTTGGTCTACTGATGGTAAACTATAAATATCGATCCAATTGCACAAGTCAAATTCCGCGCCTAGATGGTCATAGTCTTTATTTTAAAGTCCCTAAAAATTATTGTTTTGTCAAGAACTGGCAAGTCAAAGTTATACGTCAAGAAGATTAGGTCATGTTTAGAGAAGGACGGCACAATCAATTGGTCATAAATAACTACCTCTCCAATGTTGGTCACAAAATATAAATCTAACAGTGTGTTGCGCGATTTGGTGAAATGTGTTGAAAAGGATGAGTTCACCAGGTTCATTCCTAGTGATTCAATGCTATTTTTCAGATGGGTTTCTCTTAGGACATCACAATTAAAATCACCTGCTAAGATGATATTACAGTAATTAACCGAGATATTTGACAGCAAATTGATGAGATCATTGTAGTTGACATTAAATATATAACAAAAGGGTCTTTAGATCTGAAAGCTCAAAATAATTTATACATTTTTATGTGTATATTTTTTAAGTATATGAAAACTAGCTATAACAAAAAAACGCCAGAAATGAAACTTTTTTTGAACTTTCACAGACTGTACCTCTGTTAATGGTGACCCGATTACAACGAGTAATAACTTTTCGGAAAGGCTCATCAATTGCCTTTTAAATCGTGTAAGTTACAAGTTTATTGGTCTTTGGTTTTGGTTGGTTTTTGAGATCTGTTAGGTTTTATAAAAGAAGTGCCGAAAATCTGGATTTTCGCGAATATCTTTAGAACGGTTCTTTGGGAGTTTTTTTTAATTTGTTCAGCGTGATTAGCAACTCAAAACTAATAAAAAAAATTGCTCTCAAGGCTTACCTTTTTTTGCTGTAAATTAGTGTTATTAAACGACAACATTTATTTTATCACCTTCCCTTTTTCTTGTTTTTTAGATTAAAATTGACTATTTTCACTTTTTTCAACTTTTTGCACGATGTGACCGTGCATCGTATATTTGATAATACCCACATTCCAAGGAAAGATAATAATTGGTCATCATTTCGTTTTAACTTAAGGTCATAGTTTGCCCGCAAAGAAATATTTCGTTTAAATAATAATTTTCAGGGACCGAAATCATTAAAGGTTACGTATATATATATTATTTAGTATTGTTTTTAGTTGTGCCGTCAGCTTAATTTATTATTGAAAAAAAAATTCACATTGACCAATTAGTTTTTTATTAAGTTTTGGCATTATCTATTACTTCTTTCTTTTACGTATCTAAATTAACTTTTCCGTAAATTAAATATATTATTTGTTTGGAAAAAGGATGTTTCACGCCAAACACTGTAAGATTTGGCTACGTTGGAACTTCGAATCGTACTTTTTTTTTTTTTTCGCGCGGAGTTCCACGGCCACACTTCTCGCCCAACCGACCGAGGGGCGCTGCCGTGTATCGTACGGCACGATTCGCGAGATGATAGACGCGATGTAGAAAATAAAAATATAGTTCGAGGAAAAAAAGTAGGATCTAATTCTGTGCTAGGAAATTTAATATTAATCGTTTTAGGAGAGGCAGAGAGTCAGAATTTGATATAATAGGATAAAGTCTATTATAGTCAGAACATAGTACTCTGAAAGGTTCATGCATGTCATAGTTAGATCTACAGTGGTTTAAAATTAAGGGAATGTAATTTCTAGTTAATCTACTTGGAACAAAAAAGTTAAGTCGTCCAACCAAGTCGGGGCTATCAATTTCACCTCGAATAAGGTTATAAATGAAGACAGTTCCAAGCATCGTTCTACGGTTGGTTAGGGAGGGTAAGTTAATTAGGAGTAATCTACTAGAATAAGAAGGTAAAATGCGGTTTGCATCCCAGTTTAGGCGCCTTAAGGCAAAAAGTAAAAAGTTCTTTTGTACGGATTCGATACGGTCAATATGAATTCCGTATTGGGGACTCCAGACGGGTGATCCATACTCAAGTATCGGCCGGACGAGCGAGATGAATAAGGTCTTAGTAATATAAGGATCATCAAATTCCTTAGACCACCTTTTAATAAAGCCAAGCGCACCCCTAGCTTTATTTACCATGGATGAAATGTGATCAGTGAACTTTAGTCTTGGGTCCAAAAGAACACCAAGATCATTGACTAGGTCTAATCTGTCCAGAGTGCTCTCACTCAGCGTGTAAATCGCATATTGAGGAGTAACACGACAAAAAGTCATCACCTTACACTTAGAGCCATTTAAATTCAGCGAATTGTCGGAGCACCATGTTTGGAAACTATTTAAATCGGATTGTAAATCAGACTGGCAAAAAGTATCCTTGTACTGCAGGCATAATTTCACATCATCAGCGTACATAAGTACACGAGAATGACTTATAACTGATGGAAGGTTGTTTATGAATAAAGTAAAAAGTAGCGGCCCCAAGTGACTCCCTTGTGGGACACCCGAGGTAACCTGGAGTGTACAAGAAAGACAATTTTTAATGTACCCTTTGCGTTCTGCCTTTTAAATAATTTGAGATCCATCTCAAAAGATCAACTGGGAACCCAATTAAATCGAGTTTTCTAACCAGAAGTAGGTGGTTTACGGAGTCAAATGCTTTACTAAAGTAAGTGTAGATGACGTCTGTTTGAAAATTGGTTTTGAATCCCTTTATCACAAATGAAGTGAGCTCCAAAAGGTTAGTAATTGTTGATCTACGTTTCATAAAACCATGTTGACATGGAGATATAACTGACCTACATAGGTGCTGCAAATGAGGTGTAATAATATTTTCAAAAAGCTTCGGGATAGCTGACAATTTAGATATGCCTCTATAATTGTTTGCTTCCAATTTATTACCTTTCTTGTGGAGGGGAATCACAAACGATTCTTTCCACATAGAAGGAAATTGAGACGTTTCTAAAGACAAGGTAAACAATTTGAGAAGGGGTTTGCAAAGGGCTTCTGCGCAATGTCTAAGCACGCAGCCGGGAATGCCATCAGGACCAGGTGAATAGACGGGCTTGACTTTTTGGAGATCAATTAATAGGGCGCTTTCGTTTAATGTGGGACAAAATATTAAGTTCGACTTGGATACAGTGTAAGGATAAGGCCGTGTACAGTGAGATGAAGGAGAATATGTCGTTTGAAAAAACTGAGCAAATAGATCGGCTATTGCCTGATCAGTTGTTGCTGTCATGTTTTCAAAAGATAGCGAGGAAGGATAATTTGTGGATTTACGCTTAGTGTTAACAAAATTGAAGAACTGTTTCGGATCCTGAGAGAATTGGATCTTACAACGGTTCAAATAATTTTTGTAACACAGAGCGTGAAGCACGGTAAAACTAGACCGAGCGCTTAAGTATCTAGAAAAAATAGATTGAGAACCGGTATCTTTATATTTCCTATAGAGTCTGGACTTTACGGTTCTTAGGGGGGTCAGCTCTTTACTGAACCAAGGTGGTTTGGTGGAGACTGACGGATAGTACAACGGAACACAAGAATTAAAAAAACGAATTTACTGTTGAATAAAAAATATTTATAGCATCATCCATATTATGACATGAGTAAAGATCGGACCAATCAAAGGCAGATAAATAAGAGTCAAGCATGCGAAAGTCGGCCTTGCGAAAACCAAGTAGTCGCTTAGTAGACTTCTCTGATTTTGCATCTATCACAGTACCAGTGTCGATTAAAACCTCAAACGCCGGATGATATGGATCTTCAGGTTGAGTAAGAGGTGCTATCTTGGATAGAAATACGCGGTCCGGATTTAATACGAAACATAGGTCCAATAAACGACCTAGTGAATTTTTAATATTGTTAATTTGAGACAATGATATATCTAGCAAGCCTTCAATAAAGTCGTGTTGGGCTAGTGGAAGTAAAACATTTGATTGTTCATCGGTTGACCACGATGTTCCCGGGATATTAAAATTTCCTAGAACTAAAAGTTGGTCTCTATCGGTCAGTTTGTTTGACACTGACTGTATGGAAAAAATATGATTTAAGTAGTCTAGAAATTCAGATGCAGGCGGTATATACGAGCAGGTGATATATATAAAACTACCGGGAAACGACAGCCTTACACATATGAACTCTATATTATAGAATTCTTCAAATGTGACCACTTCTGACGTGAGAGTTGAGTTCACGGCAATTAAAACACCACCGTCTCGTCCGAGTTTAAGAGCCAGGTCTCTGTAAATACAATAATATGGGAAGCAAAAGAAAGACTATCCGAATACAATTTAGATAGCTTACTGCGCAAGCCTCTCGTATTCTGATAGGAAAGAATTAAGCTAGTTTTTAGTTTTTTGAAGACGAAGATAGGGTAGAAGATGAAGATGAAGATGCCGCACTACTCTGGCCTTGATTGGGGAGTCTAGTCTGCACGGGTCTTTTTCTTTTATTTGTATTCCTAGTTTCGAACTCCTTTACCACCATAAGATCTGGCCAGAAAGCTTTTGAGCAAATGGTTGAAAAGATATCGTTTGGAACAAAGATCTTAAAAGATGAGGTGTCCCTCGCATAAGTGAAATTAAACTTTTCCACTTTAATGTTTTTGGCATTTGTTTTGTGCTGTATATAGTCCAACACCTCGGATGCCGTTTGGTCAGGCGAAAGACGAGAAATAAATATTTGTTTTTTGGGTTGAACCACTGAAAGAGCCAACTTGTGCCGGTAGACCAGACTCAACATTCCCTGGAGGTGACAAGTTATTAGTAATGGGCGGGGCAACAGGGGGGTCTACTACGGATGATACGGATTCCAATTGATCCAAATCTTTTTTAGCAGCTGATCGTAGCAACATTTGGGGATTTGCTACGGTCGACAGCTGATTCGTCGTGGAGCTCTGTTTATTACTTTCCGGGGGTTGCGGGGTGTTTTCCTTAGGCTGCCTGCCACCAGTGGCCTTTTTGCGCTTTGGAGACTCGTCAATTAGCTTAAGGCTATTAAATTGAGAGTCCAGCGCTGAGAGTAAATCATCCGCTCGGCGAAAACTATCTCTAGCAACACCAAAACTATTGATTAAACTCTTTAAGCCGCCTTTGGTTTGGCGCATAAAAGATCTCATCTCTTGCGCAACTAGAAGACAAGGATCACAACAATAAAGTAAATTGTGACCTTTAGCCAGGTCATCACTGGTTCGGCCCGTATAGCCGGCACACTTGGTATGAGCCATTTTTCACACAGCCAACAGGTCAGTTTTGACTGATCAGCTCTGATTAATTGATGGCAATTATTAATAGAGCAGACAAAAGTATCCATAATTGTAAATATTTTGCCCACTGTACCAAACAGAAATGTAGGGACCGAAATTTGCGAACGAGCAGTTAAAAGTACCGCAAGAGCACCGACTCCGCACGCTTTAAATTTCGAAAGAGGGAAAAGTAGAGAGAGAATGCGAGAGTGCGGGAGAGCGGGAGCGTAATGCAGTTAATGCGAATGCAGAAAAAAACAACACAATCTGCACTGTAGCTTTTACGGACACCACACAAAGGAAAGGCAAAAGAAATCACAAAAACAAAAAACACAGAACACAATATTAAAATTGGAAATTGTTTTAATGAGATTGTGCACAGAATAGAGTAAATTCACTCGCGAAATATAAGAAGTAATATGATAAATCAAATTAGGGACCGAATATTTAAGTTTTAATTAAAACCGTCTAAAGGTAAACACAAAAACAAATAAAAA